TTATGTGTGATTTGTCAATATGTAGACATAGGATGGAGGTTGAAGATAATGAGCAAATGCATGCTAGTTTTATGGTATCACCAGCTTGAAATGAAGCATGAGTGAAGTATTTATAGTTTTGGAAGTTTGGTGGCAAAGAGGTAATTTTTGGAGTAAAAAATATTGACAGACTGACCAACTTAACAACATGTGTCGACTTGAATGACGGATGTGTCGACACATACTATAAAAAATAACAACATGTGCCAATCTGAAATGATACATGTACTGACCCAAGAGAAACATAACTTACATCCTTATTTAAGAGAGTAGATGTACCGGCCTAAAACACGTATGTGCCGACACATACTGATGAAATTTCCAGTTTGTGTCGATCTGAAGAAGGAATGTGTCGACCAAAACGAAACAGAAGCTACAAGCTTAAATATCAAGTTACATGTGTCGGCCTGAAATGCGTATGTTTTAACACATGTAATGCATTTTTGTGCAAAAACAAACAGAAGCTACAAGCTTCAATACTGAGTTACATGTTCCAACCTGAAATGCGTATGTGCCGACACATGTAACACATTTTTGTGCATAAATCTAGTTTTCATGTGTTTGGACTAGTTCAAGGTGGTTTTTGATGATTCCTAAGACCTCTAATGCAAGGGAGCCACACATACTTAGAGTTGTTGTCCAATATACCAAAATACGAAGTAGTTTCAATGTTTTGACATCACGCAAAACATCTCATGGTGAAGTTGCACTCACATATCTACCCCCACACAAGAGTGCTCTACAACTGCTCTATCAGATCTGCCAGTTTGTCTAGAAGCAACCGTGATGTCTCGTCCTCTGATCCTCAATACAATATATATATATATATATATATATATATATATATATATATATATATATATATATATATATATATATATATATATATATATATATATATATATATATATATATATATATATATATATATATATATATATATATATATATATATATATATATATATATATATATATATATATATATATATATATATATATATATATATATATATATATATATATATATATATATATATATATATATATATGAACAACCAAAATTTTTAAAATTTCATAAATTAACATGACTTTCTCGAATTTTTTGAAAAGTTCGACTACGATCTCAACCTTTTCTTTTACTATTCATTTTGAAATATCTGGTAAGCATGTATGCATTTTCACCATACTTTTCAAAATCACAAGTAAAAATGCATGTGGTTTAACTGAATTTTTCTAAAACGCAGGTAAAATTGCTTGTTAAATATGTGTTTTTACTAAACATTAAAAATTTTTTGGTAAAAATGTTTGTTTTTAACAAAATATGCAGTATAAAACATAAATTGTCAGTAAAAAGACAACATACTTGTAAAAATGTAGACATTAGCTCAAAATGTTTGGTAAATCGCACACCTTTTGAAAAACCTCAAAATATAACAATGAAAATGTGAAAAATAATTGTTTAATATATATCAGTGATATAGGGGCGGTAGGACAAAATTTCACACTATAATTAACTCATGGGAATTTCTTATCCCACCCTATGGGAAATCCAAAATGCCTCTGAGTTTTTAGAGATGCATCTCTGGACGCATCTTGTCTTTAAGTCAAAACGTTAATTAATTCGAAGATGCATCTCCATAATATTTCAAAACACACCCCATGCATCCATTATTGAAAAGCCCATTTTTTAAATTTATTGACCTGAAAGTGCATCTCTGTTTAGGGGTTCTGGAGAAGCATCTTCATAACCTATCAAAATAGTGCAAGTTAAGTTAGTTTTATGTTTACTCAGATGAAAATGAAGATTTATAAATGTTAAGGACTTTGTTATGTGATGAGGATTAAACCATACAATCGATATGCAAAAAATGACATATATAAATTCAGATGGTCAAAATAAGTCATTATCTAATACATAATGAAGTTGAAATACACAATAAAGTAGAAATAAGTCAAAATAAAATACAATCGATAAAAAAATCCAAAGTACAAATACTATATACTACCGCGTATGACGGACTAGAGCTCCTCAGACTCCTCTGTCCCAGTCCTCCGACGCTGTCTCTGGTACATCAGAACATCTCATGCCTCCTTTATAATGGTATCTAAGACCTCCCTCATATCAGAACCATCAGGAAATATACCTTTACCAATGCTTTCCTGCATAATCTCCACAATGTAACGACATCTACACAATACATCATGAGCATGATCTAACTGTGCATGTTCCTATTCTAGTATCTCCTAATGAGCTAACCTCGATAGATCCCCTGGAGCAGCCTACATCATATACAAATGTGACACCTCGAAGAACCACCTGGTGTACCCGCTGACGTAATTTCATTTGCTCTCGGCTATGGTACTCCGTGCCTCATTCGATACCAGATGACTAAGATAATCATCAAACATGACATTCATATCTCTATGTATAGCAGGAGGAATAAAGACATCAAAGTGTCGAAGAATAGTCTGAGTGTAACTGAACTGCCTCATGACGCGCTCAAGCAGATGAGGAAATGTCAGACGTGAACTGCAAGCCAACCATCATGAGTATAACACTATGTCATCAAATGGTCGCGTCTCATGGTGGTCAACATAGTTATTAAAATGCATTCCTTGACTACCAAGCGATCAAGATACAATCTGAACGACTCTATCGCCTGGTTCCCTCTGAGCGGGGCAAATGCAGAAGCATACGACATATCCTTAGTATAGGTCAATGCACATGACCAACCAGAGATACGTAGGAAGTGCTGGAGGATCCAAGCCAGAAAAGTGTTGAAATACATGAATCATCAGTAAGAGTGTTTCAAATATCTAATGAAAAGGACACATAAACACTAAAGACCAATAAATATTATCGTCAAAAGTGTGATGTTATTTGTCACCTGCTTTGTCTTCCATCTATAACCCTGGGATAATTGAGAGTATAAGTATACCAAATAAGCGTCCCCTAAATTGTACTCATAGATTCACTCAAAGTCCTTGAAGTACCGTAGGTAGACGACATCCATATACGTGTCACCTTTGTCTACAAAAATGACAGTGCCAACCAAATATAACAAGTATGCTCACATAACATATGCTCTATGCATCCCCACCTGCTCGTCATCACCTCTAACCTACTTTGCTATAAGGAGCTCATTTGTATATACCTTTTTTCAAGAATTCAAACCTAGCATGAGCCCCTCTTATTTTTTCCATCCCCTAAAGACAACCTCTAGGTAAACTCTCAGATAGTTTACCATTAACTCGAGTGCCTCATCTTTAATAATCCTTCCATGAACTAGAAGTTTCCCCCTAATTTAAAGATGCAACAAACACGACACGTCGTCGAGTGTGATAGGCATCTCACCAAGTGGTAAATGAAATGACGAGGTCTCAATATGCCATCTCTCCACAAATGCATTAAGCATCCTGTGGTTGACCATAACATAACCAATCTTGCATAAGTCTTTCATCCCATATAGGGACAAAACAACTTAAAACCATCCATTATTAGGCTGATGCAATCCAATAATCTTCCGCCCATGGTTAATGAATTTTAGTAGATCACGGTCCTGCAGAAAAATAAATCTATGTCAGAAACTTGTAATATAATAATAAACCTAATTTAAAAAAGAATTAATCCAACTAATTTGACCTTTATGTCCCAAATATGTCTGACAGTATGGGTCGGGTAAAAAGGCAGCAATGACAACTCTAGAGGGTCTCCTCCAAATACCTAATCTGACACTAACTCATCACCCTTAACAACCTGAGATGACATTGGTTCATCATCCTCATCAACATGAGGTGGCACTGACTCATCAGCACGAGGTCCGTCTGGTGTTTGGGGTGGCATTGACGCCTCAGGCACCTCTGGTGACTCGGGCACCTCTGACATATGAATAGGTGAAACCTGTCGCCTACAGAAAGATGGAAGAAGTGATGCGTCACTAGGTGACACCCGTCTCCTACAAAAAGAAGAAGGTGGAGATATATGAGCTTTAAAAGTCTATGCCTCCGCATGAACCGAGCTAGAGGAAACAATAGCCTTTGAAACCTGACTCTTTTATCTCCGGACAGATGCATGTTATGCAATCCTCTCGTGCCTCAGTCTGTCGTCTCTATCAGCCATAATGTTTGTAAGTAAACCACACAAGTGTCACACAATTACTACAACAAACCCTACAAGCAAGAATAAAAGCAGACAGATAAATGACGGAGACTCATCTCCGGTTCCTGGGAATCCAAACGTTAAAAAATTCCGGAGATACATCTTCAAAATTTTCTACAACTTTTAGTTTCGTTAATGGCGGTAATGCATGCCACAAACCCCCAAAAATAATGCATAGATCGTTATTTTTAACGATCAAACATGTTTTCTCATTATGTATAAACTATCAATCATGAAAAAATTATCTATTTCTTAATCTAATAATCAATTTCAACTAATTTATACAAAAACTCAAAAAAGTTTACAAAAATAAAAAAACTTACAAATTGTGAGTTTACTTCAATGTTGAATGATCTCTATGATGTACTTGATGTTGATTGAAGAAACTTTGAACTTGGTTGATTGATTTTAAAAGAATGTGAGTAGAGAGAGTTTGAAACATGTTTAGAGTTGTTTTTTTAGAAGTGTGGAAGAAGAAAGACTTCTAATGCGTTTTAGAACAAATACCCTCTATGGATGCATCTCCATAATATAATCGAATATGCATCTCTGTAATTTTTTATATTAAATTTGAATTTTATTTATTTAGTATGCGTCCGAAGATACATCTCTAAAATCTAGAATCATTTTTATATTTTCACATAGAGTCTTAATAATACATGCATTAAGAAATCCTTTTTGGGAAATATGGACCGGGCTTTCCACGAAAAAGCCCAAAATCAAACTGTAACACTCAAGTCTCGACTACAGCGCTAGGGCTCACACCGTTCACCGTTCTTCAATCAGAAACAGAAGAGAGGATGCTTTCCGGGGACATACCTCCAAATCAAACGATTTACGTCAAGAATCTCAATGAAAAGGTCAAGAAAGATGGTAAATTCCCTTCGCACCATTTTCATTCCTACGTTTTGTTTTGTTTTTCTACTTCAATTTCGCAATTACTACTGTTTTCTAGTCTTGTTGTGACTTTTGAAAGTGTCAAGTTTATAACTGTTTTTGGTAGTTTTGAAGTTAGTTTATGGTTGAATTTGGTTGCTTGAGAGGCGTGCTTACAAACTTCAAACATGTTAGTTTTTTACTGAATTGTTAGGGTGGCTGGATTTGACTTAGGAGTCGTATTACTGATTCTCGTGTTTCTAATGCTAAATCGTTTTTAGATTAATATGTTGGAAAGTTTAGTTTAATTGGATTTGGCATTTCTTAGTAGTTAATTTCAGTCTAGGTTGTTAAACTCAGCCGGAACGGCTGATATACTGGCGCGGAACGGTGGTGACTCGGCTTGGAACGGTCAAGACTGGTGTGTCTGGTTTTTCCCTTTTTTTTTTGTGCTTCAAGAGGGGAAAAGCCCAAAAACAAACAACCACACAAACAACCTATGCCACGGATATCACCTAGTAACAAGCTATACATAAAATCGGGACGACAAGGCTAGAAAACAGTAGTAAGTGCAAAACAATAGTAGCTACACATGATATCAGTAGTAACAACCTATTGGCTTCATGATGAATTTTCGCTACTTTAATCTCCGAGATTCCTTCCACAGCAGTCTTGATTTTGCGAATTAAACTCACGCCCTTCCGCTAATTAATGTTTTCCCGATTTGCATTTACCACTTATTGACTATCAACTTGCAACTCCATTCTATCACAAGATACATTCTTTGGCTTGAGCAAGTCGTAATCCTTCCAGTACACCCCATAATTCTGCAGAGAACACATTGCAATTCCCTACACTCGGAGAAACCACACGATCGGCCACCATTACTATTCTTAGCTAGACCTCCGCAGCCAGCTACATTATTTTTTGTTACTGCTCCATCAGAGTTGATACAAATCCAGTCCTTCTCCAGTTTCTTCCACTCCATATCATTTGCTTCTCTACCTTTATGGATCATGTTTTTCTGAATACTCATGATATGATGGTAGCTTATAATTTTATCTTGAATATCTTCAATCATATTAAAAGCAACTATGAAGTCTGTGACATATCCTTTGATTTCTCCAATGCCATAATTGATGACAAAAAATAACGTCCGTTCCATTCCATTCCGTTTTTTTGGGATGGCCACACCGCGCCATTTTCCGAGTTTAACAATATAGATTTCAATGTAGTCAAACCCGGTGTTGTTAAATAACCGGACGCTATAACATAGCGGGATTTGGGGCAAGCACTATAAAATGGGATACTCTCAAACTAAGATATGCCAGTTTTTACCTTCATCCATCCATTCATCTACTTTTGGAAAGTTAAAAATGATTAACCAAATTAAACGTCTTTAATCCCCTTTCATTGTTCATCATCGTTGAACATTGCACAAAATGTTGTATGTGAAAAGAAATGCATATGTGAAAAATTTTCATATGTCTAATTAAAATACTAATGTCTTAGTTCTAATTCTTAAAGCCTAATTTTTGTTCTAGTTTGTTTAGGTAAATATTAGAACAAGTGTCAATATTATTGTAAATGTATGTGAGGGGTGTCCAAGGTGTGTTGAAGCTTAAGTTGTTTTTTGTTGGTAAAACTTATGAGTTGTCTGACACCAATGTGAGTTTTGTAGTGTGTCGAGCACTGATGCAATGTTGGACACCAGACACCCCTAGATTTAGGGGTTTCGTACTTCAAAGTATATGAGGATCAAATAGATCTTAGGAGTGTCTGCTTCATTTTATTGATATTTGTATTGCAAAACTCATTGTTGGGTTGAAAGTTAATATCGTTTAGATCTTCTGTATAAATTTTTACATAAATCTACAATCATTTGATATGTCAATGAGGTATGCCAAGATTAATGTCTTATGTGTTTTTATTAAACAATGTTAATCTTACTATATAATAGAAGATTTGATCCCTCTATGTATAGCAGACTTATTTGGTAATTGAGTTTTTCCCTAGTCGTGTGTTTCTTTTTCTTTTTATTAAATTAAATGACTTTGATGTTGATATTATGATATAATTTAGAATGATGACTTATGTTCTGTTTGTTGTCTATGTGACAGAATTGAAGAGATCTCTGTACTGCTTATTCTCTCAATATGGAAGAATTTTGGACATCATTGCTCTAAAGACACCCAAGCTTCGAGGACAAGCATGGATTTGTTTTAGTGAAGTAACTGCTGCAAGTAATGCAGTGCGACAGATGCAGAACTTCCCATTTTATGAAAAACCCATGGTATTTAAGTTATACATCCTGTATTTGTTAATTTCTGTACAGTTATGTTCATAATCCGTTGCATTTTATGTCTTTCTTGGGAACCTTATATTGTTGCCTGCTCTGGTTATCTTACTGTTTAATTTTGAATCTTGTAATTTCTCTTAATTGTCTATTGTCCTTCATGGAGTTATGTCTAATCATGCCCAAATATAGCTGATTGCAAGAATTTTTGGTTAAATATAATGGTTTAATTTTCTCTGGTCTAAACATCTATTGTCCTGTATGGGGTTCATGTTCATTATCTTGTAAGAATTCTTAACTAATTATTATGCATTAGCTTTCTTTGATGTTGGCAGTATGTTCATGATCAAGATTGAAAATGAAAAATGTGGATGATATACCCCATATTCTTTATTTCTCCTTTCTTGTTAAGAAAGTTACTTGGTATTTTGATTTATCTTTTTTCTACCAATGAAATACTTCTAAAAGCTTTTTATGTAAATAACTTGATGCAGAGAATTCAATATGCAAAAACAAAGTCAGATTGTATTGCTAAAGAAGAGGGAAGTTTTGTTCCAAGGGAAAAGAAAAAGAAACAAGAGGAGAAAGGTGAATGGTCATTTATTTTTTTGCAGGCCACAGGCTTGCTCATTTTTTTTTAATTGCGTTTTGAATCTACCATTATCACATGCCCCTGCAAAGTTGTGATGTCAGTTTGCAATGACTGAATGATCATATTTAATGTAAGATTTTTAGCATTCAAATACTTGTCATGAGCCCCTCCTCGATTAGGAGAGTGCTGTTGGAGGTGGGAGAAGAGAATGATTATGAGTGACGTTTACATTATTTTAGGGATATTATAAGAAGAGGGAAAGGATTTGTAATAATTTTCAGAGTCCTCCGAAACACTACAAAGTAGTTCCTCGTTTCTCAGTTTTATTCCTAAGAAGTAAAATAAACCCCAACGGAAAGTGGGGAGTTATCCTCCTTTCCCCACCTTTTCTAACTCCTAAACAAAGTCTTAGGGTCTGATTGGGAGTTTGGAGGGGAAGGAGAGCTTTTGGAGGAAGGGAATGAGAGAGAAATCTTCCACCTTATTTGAGACATTGAATGATAAGAGAATACTTATCATTAGTATAGTTTTAATTTTAAGAGTATTATAACACGGAAAGATTTGAAGAATTTATCTAAACCCTCTAGAATTCTCTTCCAACACGGTTTTTGTAGTTCCCGTATATTAGGGGTTCTTTTACTTTAAAGAATATTAAACTCCCCCCATTCAAGTTGGGGAACTATCCTTCTTACATTTCCCTTTCTTCTTCCTTTTTCCCTAGGCTCTCCCCTCCCATCCCAAGACCCTTAGGGTGCATTTTAGACAGAGTTTCAACATAAGCAGAATAGTACAGAAAATACATGGGCCTAAAAACAATTTTTGTCTCAAATGTTGGTGGTTAATACACAGAAGCTAATCATGTAAAATCTACTGCAGTACCTTTTGCACCATAGAATATTTATTTTGTGCTAAATATGTGTGTACTTAATTTTATTGTAATACTTATACATTAAAACACACACGTAAATGATATACATGTCCATGGTTGTCAGACATGCGAGTCAACTGTAGACTCAGACGAATTAACAAGTCTAGGAGGCCAAAACGAGTACTCGTACTCAAACTCATTTTTGCAGCCGACTCAGACTCGGATAGACTCTTCATTTTATTGCTTCTATGCGTTACTTTTCCTGTGTCATCTGTCTTTGTTTCATTCTTGTTGTGTTGTTTGTTTCGAGTGAGTGCTATTGTTTGTTATCTCTATTCTTCAAAAATAGCATTATTTACTGTTTTTTGTTGCTATATTTTTTGAAGCAGTGTATCCCTTTGTTAACTTATAGCTTGTTCCTTTTGTGTGTGTCTCAATGTCCCTTTGTTTGGTTACAGTTTGAAATTGTAATTTTTATGCTAATCGGTCTTTTATTTGTCTCATTTTTTGTCATTTTGAGGTTTTTTAGCCTTTAATTTTATTTTTCATAAACTCTTACAAGTCAAATCTATAGACCGACCCTTCACAAGTTTACATAGACCTGTGATTCATACAACGTTGCATGTGTCCATGTGAGTGAGTTGAGTATATGAGAGAGGGGAGGGAGGAGGGACAAGTTGTTTCTTTGTGTGGGTTAGTTTTGTTAAATGCAACTGAACAAGCTAGTTTGAGCCATCTTATGATTAGGTCTGGTCTTATAGGGCCACAAAATGGTTTTCAAACTGGTTCATCATACAAAAAAGACTATTTCTGTTCAGATCGATTGATATGTGCAATGCCTGATTCAGTCTGGTTGGTTTTTCTGGTGAATTGAAGCGTGACTAAGCTATTATTACTCAATTTTACTGGCCTAAGATAACGGGATTGAAATATTATGATATAATGTTACTGTCTAGCTATTAAGTATACATGAACTATTAGTTCCTTTCTGACTTTGTTGCTTATGAATTAATGTTAGTTCCTTTATCGAATTGGCAGTCATTTCTCACTACTTTTATTTGGCTGACTCTTTTTTTACTGTACAGCTGAGAAAAAGAGGTTCCCTGAGGAATCAAAACAATCTTCCGTGCCAAATGGAACACATGGTGCAAGTAATGGTGGCCCAACAGTAAGTTCATTTAATCCACTTAGATTATAATGCCTGATTTTCTCTCGGGTAAAAGCTTTGTGAGCTTTTGATATTTCAAAGCACGACCAACACCAGTCACTTGAGTGACTCTTAAGAACACACAATCTCCCTCTTGGAACTCAATTGATTTTCTCCTCTTATCATAATAAAGAATGACAATTGTTGTCAATAATTGTTCAATTTCATGCACTTATGTTGATATTACATGCAACTTACAAACGATATGCACTCTTCATATCTGCAGGCCTCATTCCGTCCAGGGTCTAACTCCCAAGAAGCAGCTGCTCCTAACAATATTTTGTTCATAGAGAACTTGCCTTACGAAACTACCGGTAGAATGCTTGAAATGCTCTTCGAACAATACCCCGGATTTAAGGAAGTGCGCTTGATTGATGCAAAGCCAGGTATCGCATTCGTAGATTTTGAAGACGACATACAATCATCTATGGCAATGCAGGCTCTTCAAGGCTTCAAAATCACACCTCAAAATCCCATGGTTATAAACTTTGCTAAGAAGTAACTAGTTGATTTTCTGCAATCAGTATTTGAAGTAAATTTTGCGCACTGTATTGGTGTAGGTCTGTTAAAAACCAATTGCAGAAGTTGTAAGTTTACAGGAAGTTAGATACAACAAGTAGACAGAAAGTGAGAAATTTTCTACAGTTGTGGGAAGATTGAGATAGTGATTGGTATAATTATGTCTATTTGTTGTATGTGATTTATTTTTTATTTTCTCTGTAAAACATGTTCTCCATGAGCTGTTTCATTTTATCGGCCCAGAAAATTTTCCGGTTTTTACGTTCTCTTTTATTATCATTATTATCTCACCGTTCTAAACATTGCTCTCCCATTTTATCATAACTATCATTATTTTAATTTTTTTAAAATAACATGTGTTTTTAAATAAAATACCAAATAAACTGTATTTTCAAATTATTTATAGAAATAACCATGTTTTAGAAGGAGACAAAGAGGATATGTCAAATGAAATGGCGTATACGTCAAATGAAATGGCGCATGTTCCTATTTTTAAATTCATGCGCTGTTTGAATTGACCTGGGCATGTGAGACAAACCATATGAAATGACGTCTCCACTGTCTCTCATAACTCATGTGCCAATTTATATGGGTCATTTTTTTAAAATCATGTTTGTATGCACCATTTTAAATGGCTACTACACTGTACCGCATTTCCTTTAAATATTGCACCACCTTCTCTTTATTTCTCGCAATTTTCTCCTTCCATTTCTAATAATCTTCCATTTTTCTTTTAAAATGACTTCCTCTTCCTCTTTATAAAGTTTTTTATATCCATGAGAGAAATGTCGATTTAATTTTTTCGCCAGTCAAACCTTTGATAAAGATCTGTCTCTGAAATACACTGACGTTCAAACATCTTAATAGGAGTTTGAACTGTTGGTTAGATGGAGACATTTCATAGGGTGAAAAGATCAGAAGAATTGAAAGACTTGTTACCACGTTCAACTAAAATGGAGAAGTTCGTTTCTGGAAGAATGTTACAACTGACAGAGATGTTCAGATGTTGATGTATAGTTCTTAGGAAATTGTCCTGTAATCGCATAGTTATGTTGTTTAGTCGTTGTATTTGTTTGTTTTGTTGTTTAATTGTTTAAATTATTGTTATTTGTTTTTAAATTATTGTTATTGAATGTTATGATATTTATGAAATGAAAGTTGTTGTGCTTGGTCCAACATTGGGACATTTTGTACGATTGTGTCTGGACTGACGACATGAACTACATAATCTCACCATTTTGTTCACCGTATCCATTTCCGTTCGAATACGCGTGCTATTAGGCTGACCCTTTTTCTTTCTTCGCATAATTTTATTGTACCAGACTATTTCCCCTTCATATGTAGGCTAATAGTCCTCACTGCATATTAACTGAGAGCTGAGTTTGCGATGATCCTGCATTGGATTGGTGATTATACAAGTGTGCTCTGGACCCATATACCCTATCTTCTAAGAATCAATTCTCTTCCGGTAAGATGCTGTTAATCGGAACGGGAAGAACTCATTACGACATTAAATCTAATGCAGAGTCACGTTCGTTCGATCAACCCTATATTCAGCTGATAATTTCATGTGATACTATTTTATAGCTCAGACACAGTCTTCTTTTATTTGAAACTTGTCTCCCTCTTTTAATACTCCTTCTGTTTGCATATATGGATTGTAAAAAATATCTGAAGATGGTTCATCTGCACCCAAGTTCAAGTTTGTCATGTGTTGAGGTGGACAATAAACATGACTGACCGATAATGGGTCTTCCTCGTGGTCGATAGTGGAATCGTTTACCATTTCATCAATCAAGACCTCAGCTTCTTCTTCTTCGTCAACGACATCGACTTCAGCTTGTTTTTCGTCAAATTCGCAAAAAACTTGAGAAGGATCAAGTTGAGACATTTGATGTTGTTGCAGTATAATATAAAACTAAATATCATTGAAACTAGAATATACATGACTGAGAAATATTTTATAGCATCTTCATCATCTCGAACCTTTAACTGGAAAAGTTTGACTTGGTTGTCGTCAAAAAACATTGGATTCTTGTAGATGATTTGGCCCACTGGACCACACTGCAATTTCTTTTCTAATCTCTCTTTCAAATGGGAAAAATTTGATCTTCTATTAATTAAAAATCGAGTAACATCTGTATTACAAAAATTGAAACCGATTATGATACAATCAAATATCTCACCATTGATATGTGCATTGATCATGTATTGTGGTGTTTGAGCCATACGTGCCATATTTTTGTGTACCAATATTTGAAAGAATTATGGTGTAATATTTTAGTGTACTGGTGTTTGATAGAATTGTGGTGCAATATTTCATGCGTATTAATATAATTCTGGTTTCATGCAATAGAATTATATATATATATTATTGTTTAGACTATACATGCACTAGTTTTGTCTCAATTATACATGCATGCTTGTTCAGACTATACATGCATTATTCTTGTCTCAACTATATCTTCTTAAATTTTTATGCCTACTAATACCTTATTTTTGTCTTCTTAATGCATGCTTTCCTACTAAAACCCTATTCTTGTCTTCATTTGGCATGCATTCCATAAATCATTCACTTTATGGCTTGTCTTCAATTTTGTTTTTTAGTGGCATGTCTTACAAGATTCTCTTACAAGATGCCTTATACCACATGATTCTCTTATCTTCTGCATGCATGTAAGATGCCTTACACGATTCTCTTACCACATGATTCTCTTATCTTCTGCATGCATGTAAGATGCCTCACACGATTCTCTTCCTCCATTAAAGAAGGTGTCATACCAAATGGCGACACATTTTGAAGCAACACATATGCGCCATATGAAATGCGTGTGCTTTATTATTCATACATATGCACCATTTCATATGGAAAATGCATTCACATTGCCATGCAAAATACGATTCACGTGAACAAGCTCTATTCATTCTATAAATAGCCAAGTCTTTCACACAACTTTCATCAACATATGCGCCATCTCTGAACACTCAATCTCTCAACTTTCATCAAAAAATGTCTCTCCTTACTATGGGTGGTGAACACAGAGGAACAATTGGCAATATTGCAACGTTTGTAAGTTTTTAAGTTTACTAGTTTTGCTTACTTATTTACTTAAAGATATAGTTTCTTTAAGAGTAAGGTTTATTATTCTTGCTAACTTAATTTCTTTATATTTTTTGTCAGAATGTAAAGAGATTTTGATGTCGTGTGCATGACTATATACCACACGACCCAATCATAATACCTACGATCAAGCGGTTTTGGTCATGTACTAAACATAGTCTCGTACTCGATTGATAGTAAATGTATTCTCACTTTACTAGAACGATGAAGACCCGAGACCCACATATTTCACCTTCCATTCGGTGAGTGCACCATCGCACTAGAAGATGTGTATATGTTGTTGGACCTACGCATCGATGATAAGGCTGTTAATGGTAAAGTTAACCTGGATAAGAAAATATGCGAAGATTTGTTGGATGCCCCTCTTTGTGAAGACACAAATCCGACACAATCTACAGGTCGACCCAGGGGTCAAGGTATTAATTTAAAATACCTTAGAGAACATTATTCCAGTTTAACATTAGACGACAAATCCATCGAATATAAAAATATAATTAAAATTCGGTGTTATATTATGATTTTATTTGGTCATTTTTTATTTCCTGAAAGTACTGAAAATACGGTAAATATTATGTATTTGCCGTTGTTACGGAACATTAATAAAGTAGACACATATAGTTAGGGTTTAGCTATTTTGGCCCATCTATATAGTTTCTTGTGTAAAAATGAAAAAAAAAAATACTTGTACGTTTTATGCTTGCGCCTTTCTACTACAAGCATGTGGTTGGTTAAGAATGCTGACACTCGCACTGGTCAACCTAAATCCATTCACATTTTCCTAAGCAAATAAGTAAGTTTATTTTAAATTTTCAAATGTCTACTGTAATAAAAAGTTTATTTGTAACTAATTACTTTTCTCACTTTTTGTTTTAGGTGGTCAGTTCTGGAGATGAATTACAACCGATGTCCCAGAAACGCAATAATCGTGCACCGCAATCTTTTAGATCACATTGGACCGAACAATGTAATTTATTCTAAACTACTATAAATTTGGCCATAAAATTAACATACTGCAATTCTTCTCATTATGTATTTTTATTATGCAGTTTGTCTAGAGGCCGTATCTAGGTCTCGACCGTCAGCCTAACCCCGATGATCTTGCAGTTTGGACAGAAAAAACACCAATCATTTGCTTCACTATAGTGGAGATGCACCAAAGTGATCGAGTGAAACTACAATTCGACATGCAACAAGATATTCCAGTCCCTCCGACGTGTTTTGGCGACTGACATCAATTGAGAGTAGATGCATAATGGAGTTGTGAAGATTGGAGAGACTTTGCTAAAGAGATGTGTCGACATTGGAAGAATCGACGTCGCCATGTCTTAAAGGAGCCTGTCGTAGAAGGGGCTAGACCAATTCATCACTATATAATTTGGTTTAGGTCAGTTACAACGCAACAATTTGTGTCTGAGGTGACATATTTGATCGACCTGCGCCAACGTGCTTCGTCATCATACACCCAACAACAAAAACCCGCCCAACAACCAACCCCACACTACACCCAACATCAATATCTACCCACCCAATTCCAACTACCCACCTCACACCATCGATATGCCATGTACACCGAACCATCAAACATCCAAACCTGTAACCCATTCATGCCACCCATCCAAACACAACAACAAGAGCCTGACCCTTACCGCCAATATCCACACACCGACACCACATCTTCCTATAGCCCAAATGACTAATTCGACTCCACCCCAGACCACCATAGCCCCCCATAAATGAACACACATACATTCCACCACCAAAACACCCAACCACTATTTGACTTCTTTATCCCACAACAACAATTGCATTGTTTCCAAAATGATTCAATGTACCAATTCGTCCAACCATACCATCCTCACCTA